TATAGCATGTTTCCCCCCCTGTGTGTAGATCCACCCCTGGAGATGCAGAGAAGACTGGCTAAGGTCTATAAGGAAGAGGAAGTGCTGGATGAAACTCAAACAGGAGTGGGACCTCTATGTAGAGAGACCAGAGGCAGGGCTGGCCTAGATTTAGGGAGACAATCCGGATGATATCCCAGGCCTGTGATCTTGTGATCTGTGAATTCTAGAATCTAGTAATGCCCTTAGCCTTAGACAACAAGGTTGCCTTACATCCAGCAGTTCCTTTCTCCTACAACCACTTCTGATATTCCCAACAGAATAAACTAAGAGCAGTTAGGTCATTTTAGACTCTGGGCCTAATGGTCTCATGAGGGACCTGTTGTTCTGTGTAGCCCTGCTGCATTTGGGAACCCTCCTGCTCATCCTTACGACTGGGGCCCCAAAGTCCCACCCCGATGGCTCGGCTGAACATGATACAAGGGTTCCTAAGACTATGTATTGAGGAGGAGCTTCTTTGAAAGGCACAAGGTCTCTCAACAATCTGGCATTTTGCACGGAACAGGTTTGTTCATGACTATATGCTGTCCCGGGCTCCTTCAAGGAATAAAAAAACTCACCATAATATATTTGCCATGCTGTTTGCTAAGCCCTCATGGCCACAAAGCAGTAGAATGTTGAAAGGAGCCATTTGATCCGTCCATTATGGCACATAATGTTTATATCACAACTCATCAGGCACCAGCTGCAATGAATTACCCTGCAAAGCAAGATCCATATGCTGCAAAATGCTATAAACAATGTGTGTGTGTGTGTGTGTGTGTGTGTGTGTGTGTGTGTACACACACTGTTAGCTTAACTGGCAGACAGAAGGGAGATATAGGAACATATACAAATGTGTGATTTTAGTGCTGAGCCTAATCCAAATGGAGAAGGGGGGGGGGGAATAAGAAAAAAAAATATTTAAAGTTGCCCTTCCAGACTGAGGGTTTTTGGTTTTTGTTTTGTTATGTGGTGTATATGGTATATTCTGCAACATGTTAAAAACAGCCCAATCAGAACAGCCCCCACAATATTCCACAAACACTTGCAGGAGTTATTTGATGCTAATCAGAAGGAGGGTTTCCAGGTTTTAAAGAAGAAACTTTTGGCCCCTCTAGACTTTCGTGTGTGCACCTGGTATATTCTGTAACATGTAATTGAGGGAATAATAGTGCATCAGTGGTGGATTTATATTGGACTGCCCATATATCATTCTGCTTTATTGTTCTATGAAGACACACAAACACCCCAGTGCTATTATACTATTGTTATCTGGTTTAAAATGTTCCATCCCCATCCCAGGTTAGTTCCTACAACATAACTGGTGTGTCTGTTCCATGAAAGCAGTAGCTTTTACGTCATCACTTTGTAATCACTGAATAACATGAAGGAAATTATTTGCAAATCCCTGCCCCCATCAAAGCTAATTTTTAAATGTATTTATTTATAATGGGTTCTTGTTTTTTAGGTTGCTTTTCTGGGCAGCTGACTATCCAAAGCAGCTTACAATTAAAAACAATAAAAGGACACACACACTCACACACACACACACACACACATAAGCAAACACGTGTTGTTGTTTTTAACAGAGCAGGAGAGAATATAATTCAACCAAACTCGTCATCTATTATTGTGCATGAGTAAAGGGGCACACTTACTTTGCTCATTCTGGGTCCCATTGAACACCAAGCAATTTTGAGGTGGCACAAGGCAAAAAGGACTCCTGGTATGCCCACTCCCTGAATATTTGTGAAGTGCCAATTGCTTCAGCATGGGCTCTTACCACTGCAAGCATCAGCTCAGCAGTATGCTAATAAAGGACTCCAGAGTGACTAATACACTAACACCACTCTGCGTGGTTAGCACCCTCTCTCCTTTCCCAGTCATTACAGGCAATTTGAAGAGCTCAGAGAAACAAATGGCCACTCAGCTGCCCATCCTTTATGGATTTTCACAGCGCATGGAATGTCACTCACAAAATATTGAGCCAGCGACCATGTAATTCTAAATAATTGCACAATCCTGTCACAATGAATACAGGAGAATACAAACATATTGTCTACAGGAGTCAGAGTCTAACCCCATCCATCCCCTATCCTGCCTGTTCTTCAAGGGATAAGAAAGAAAGAAATGAAAATCTTTGGGAAGGAAAAAGACGCAGAAGATCCTCCATCTTAAATGGAATGCTGGTGTCAGGCTGGTCCTAAGAGGACAACAGTTTAGTGCACAGAGATGGGACATGTGTCTTTTAATTTCAAATGGCTCTTCCTCACATTTATCCTTCTCCCCAGAAACAAACAAACAGGTATCAGTCTCCCCCAAAAAAGCTAACCAAACGTTCTACCCGAGACTTCATCCTGCACACTTAATAGCTGCAAGAATGAAACAACAGCTTTTTCCTAGGGCTAGAGGAGGGTTTCAATCAGTGCAAATTTTGTTCACTCCAACCTAATTTGGAATACATGGGTCAGAACAAAATTACCCTTTGGATTTTGTACTTCTCCAAATTTTGCAACACGGTGCTCGGTTAAAAAGAAAAAAAAAGTACAAGATAAAATGCATTCAGAGATTGAGATTAAAAAAACCCATAATTATTATGTGTTTTGTGATAAACTACGTATTTAAATAAATGTTGTTATCAAAATCAAGCAATTTCCAAAAAATGGAACTCATGCCATAGACAATTCAGCGTTTCTTACTGCCTCTGTTTTGTCATGGGCAGCAGCTCTGAGAAAACTCAATTTCTTATCCAGGATGAAACAGAAGGCAGGTACATGGGTCAGTGTGTCTGGCTGTTAACCAGGTGATTGATGGTTTGAGCCCACCAAGGGACAGCTATGGGCAGGACTGCCGCATTGCAACAGGTTGGACTAGATGACCTCTAGTCCTCCCCAAATATCCATGACTCACAGTGGCTACGGTCCAACACTGAGAGAGTATTGAAGTCCTTTGGCACAAATTTCTTTACAAACATCATCTCACTCTGACCAAACAAAACAGCCTCAGCCCAGTATACCTGAAGGAGCGTCTCCACCCCCATCGTTCTGCCCAGACACTGAGGTCCAGCGCCGAGGGCCTTCTGGTGGTTCCCTCCCTGTGAGAAGCTAAGTTACAGGGAACCAGGCAGAGGGCCTTCTCGGTAGTGGCACCCGCCCTGTGGAATGCCCTCCCACCAGATGTCAAGGAAATAAACAACTATCCTACTTTTAAAAGACATCTGAAGGCAGCCCTGTTTAGGGAGGTTTTTAATGTTTGATGTTTTATTGTGCTTGTAACTCTGTTGGGAGCCACCCAGAATGGCTGAGGAAACCCAGCCAGATGGGCAGGGTATGTATGTATGTATGTATGTATGAATGAATGAATAAATATTATATCTCACATAGCAGCTAATAACATATATTTTACACAACAAAATACATTAATTAATTACGAGTGGGAAATGACGGAAAATACATACGGAAAATATCACCCTTTTTCATTTTCATCTTCATTGCTCTTATTTGGAACAATCTGATACACAAGTTGCAAATACCTTTCAGTTGTTTAACTGCTGTCCTTCTCAATACCATTTTTCTTCCATTTTTGGCCTTGTTGTTTTCATTTTCCCTCACTGTTGATCAATATGCATCCAAGTAAGTTCTGCTCAGGGTAGACCCACTGACCCTAAGCTAGTTTCAATGGGTATACGCTGAGTATGACTATTAATATTATTTATAAAAAAAATTATCCCACCCTTCATCAGAAGATCCCAGGGCGGTTTGCAAGAGAAAAATACAAAATAATAATCTAAAATACACAATAAAACAAGAACAAAGCTAACATTGGATACAACCTGATGATTTTTGTAATAACCCATGTGATTTCATGGATGTTACCTCTGTCAAGATGGCATCACCATGTACCCAGACAACATTGGATGTGTTGTCATCGCCATGAATTGGACATGCTAATGACTGGTAACAATAGAAGTGGATGAATCTGCCAATTTCACTCTCTCATTTTTTCCAATCTTAAGTCCAGTTCACCACATTTCTGCATCAATTTGCATTTTATAAGTCCAAATTCAACGTAGTTATATGTCTTTAGTAACAAATTAACAAAGCCAGCAAATTCAAGTGTAAGTCCCCAGCTGGAAATCAGGAGATTAAAAGCCCCCACATTTGGATGAGAAGATAACATTTTTGAGACAATTCCACCAACAAGTCATTTCAGCTCTATTTATATCCCACATTTCAGTTAAACTGGCAATGGTATCAAAGCATTGTAATTATTGTGGGGAACTGGGAGAGGAAACTGTCACCTAAGTAGACAAACTCAATGGTCTAGTTCTCATTGACATGCTAAAACTGTCTCTGGGCCTTACTACTTCCAACTGCAGGTTGGGCAGAGCTAATTAAATGCTCTTCCATACCATAAAAAACAAAGAAACCAACCCATCTACACAGAAAACTAGATGTCTGAGCAGCCTTCCCCAATCTGTAGTCCTCCAGATGTTTGGACTTCAGCCCCCATTATCCCTTACCATTGACCATGTTGGCTGGGGCTGATGGGAGTTGCAAGTTGGAGAAGACTGTGTCAGAGAGAAGGGTTCTAGTTTAGTCTTTCTCCAGATAGTTTTCTACATGCAATAGTTTGTTTATGTAATGTTTAAGATTGCATGAGCCTCATCATTGAATTCTGACGTGGTGGTACCCATGCACACTTTCCCCCACCAGTGAGAACTAGGCCACTGATTTACAGACCAACATTCAGGTAATAGCAAATATCATGAAGGAACATCACATGCTGCAGTGACAGTCAGTCCTTGTCCTTCTGTTGTCCTCTTCTAGTTGAGAGAATATGGATGCTTTGCACGATGACAGTCTGAAGACTTGTTTTGCTCCTTTGACTCTCAGCAATGTGGACAGAAAGAACAGAATCCCAATAGCTTCAGTACAGAGCAGAGAAATTACCTGGAGGTAGGCAGGTGCAGATGGCCCATTTGGTTTCTGCTGCTCGTGAACAGCTCAACAGCATGGAGTCCTCCAGGTTGGTGTTTCTCTATAATCTTGACCCACCTGGAGATCCATGGTGTCGAGTCATGAACGTATCACACCAGTGTTGACTTCCAAGGCGACCTGGGACTGTTGAGTTCCTCTTCACACCAAAGAAATGAAGATTTGACAGTTTGACTCCCAGTCTTCTGAATCCACGCTGGCTTTCACACAAACACTGCAATCTTATGCACACTTAACTGAGAGTAAGTCCCATTGAACTAAGTGGGATCTACTTCAGTGTAAACATGGCTAAGATTAGGGTGAAAGAAACTCAACAAGAGGAGTCCTAATCAGGGTTGTAGAGCACACCAGTTATTTAAATATGTCCAGAAACATGATATGGTATAGATTATACCTTTAAAAACAAACACTGTAGTTGGGTGGGTGGTCAGTTTCAAAATGACACCAAAGAAATGACACTTATTGGACTTTTTTGTATATTGGTATTTCCCATTTTCTTTTATTTGCACCTGCCTGTTAATTATTTTCCTAATTATGCCCAGTACAGCAGTTGACAATGTGGCACCTATGAAAGATCTCAGCAAATATTCCCTTAAAAACTCACAATTCATGAGAGACTGCTTGCTCTTCCTCCGCAATTCCTGTTTGCACTGACTCAGGCTCTGTTACATTGAACACACACACCAAAACATGACCAGGAACAAGACTAAAAGAAGGGACCCTCAATGAGAAACACACCCTAAAATATGCTTGCCCTAAACTTGCAGTATGGACTTGAACGGACAGACTGTGGGTCAAAGAGGACTGTGAGTGGGTGGGGGATTGGCTGGCACTATGAACCTCCCCTACCCTGCAAATGTCCCATCTAGAAATATGGCTGCACCACCAACACTGATGTCCAGCTCTGAGGGCCTTCTGGTGGTTCCCTCACTGCAAGAAGTGAGGTTACAGGGAACCAGGCAGAGGGCCTTCTCAGTAGTGGCGCCCGCCCTATGGAACACCCTCCCATCAGATGTCAAGGAAATAAACAACTATCTGACTTTTAGAAGACATCTGAAGGCAGCCCTGTTTAGGGAAGTTTTTAATGTTTGATGTTTTATTGTGTTTTTAACATTCTGTTGGGAGCCGCCCAGAGTGGCTGGTTAAACCCAGGCAGATGGGGGTATAAATTTATTTATTTATTCATTCATACATACATACATACATACATGGAAGGCTGGCTGCAAGGTGACTCTCACCCTCCATTTAGTCTGGCTATTTGCACACCTTACATTCTTCTGATATGGTATTTTTCTCAATGAGATGGGTTTCCCCATTCCTACAATAAGCTTGTGGCTGTTTGTGTGTGTGATGTGGCCACTAACACTGTGCTATGCAACCACACATTTTCATTCTATCCGTGTCATCGATACTATACATGGTACCCTCAACAACATAGGAACATCTGCAGATAACATGCAAACTGGACCTCAGAGTTTGTGCTCTAGGAAAACGGTAGCACCCTAAATGGATACCTTGTACTTGAGCTTTGACTTACAAATATAAAGGTCAATGCAAGAGATACAATGTTTTTAATGAGAAATCATTCAAGAGAATATGGCTTAGTTGAACACCTTCCATTTTGTGGCCATGTCCCTTGAATGTGCAATGACTGAAACCACTTTTCCTTTACAGCAGGCACCAAAATGCACAGTACAGTCGTTTTATCCATCTCACTGAAGATTATGCCGGGACACACACAAAAAGCTTAACGTCACATTATATCTCTACATGCTTATAAGCACTCAGATGAAACGATGCAATGTAATGGGATCTTGGTGGTTGCCTTTGGAGTGGGATCCTTGATGACAGAATGTATTTCTGTGAATGGGCATTATCCCCAGGTGAACACATTTACCCCGTGGAACAGTTCTGTTTAACCTTCAGGGTACAGCGCTCATGAGAAGAATTGGATTCTTCTTTTAGGTGAGGCCTCAAGAACAGCAGAATTGCATTTAATTCACCGGAAACAACCCCTAGAGACATGGTTCATTGCAATGGTCTCCTGGAGGCATACATTTCTCCTTGCTTCCTCCTTGCTCCAGGATTAGGCAGTTACAGTTTGCTTCTTAATCCACCCATTAAATGAATGTCACTGCATTTTAGAGGAAGACCGATGATGCCTCACAGAAAATGCTAAAAATATTTCATTTCCTAAAGGGAAATTCTGCTCCTCTTATCAGATATTTTTAGATAACTTCTCTCCCTTGGTATTGTATTGCTATGGACATTTGCTCAAAGACAGCTTGTGGGTTGAAGTTTGGGGGTATAAGGCATCCATATGTGAATACCTTATTAGGATCCTCGTGACTGATCCATGGGTACAGCATCTGCTTTGCATGCAGAACAACCTTGGTTTAATCGCTGGGATCTCCTAGAAGGACTGGGAATGCCCCTGAGGAGCCACGGCCAGTCAGTGTGGACAGTGATGAGTTATAGGTGGACCAGTGATCTGATTCAGTATAAGGCAGCTTCCTATATTCTTACAATGGAATTAGCATTTCTTATGTGATTGTTTGGGTCACAAAGATGGCACTGAATAGAGCAGCCTGATCCAGTTGAGATTTGGGGACTGATCTGCACATGCTCAAAACTGGAAACACCGAAAGGAGGATCGTGCTAATAACACAAAGAAATGGAACAGGATCAGGATGACACTCTATTCATCTGATGAATCAGACTCCAGCCCACAAAAGCTTATACCACAATAAATTTTGTTAGCATTTATGGGGCCACATGACTCTTTAGTACATTTAACAGATGATTCCAAATGCTCCCCCCCCAAATGCCTTCTCTGGGGGATATTATGCAACAGTTAAATGAACACAACACTGCATTCCTTTTAAATTATCCACTTGTGGAAAGGCACCCATGTTTGGAGACAGGTGCCTGTGTGTTGCACATCATTGGTTTTAAAAAAACATTGACAGTGCCTGTTGCATTCAGCTTAGGGTGACAAAAAAGAGGAAATCCATCACTGGGGGGGGGGAGGACAAAAGATGAAATGGATTTGCATAGAATTTGCATGTGCCAATTTGCATGTATAGATGCAAATTTAGAAATAATTACTATAATTTAGATAGAAATGCATCTTAGCAGAAGAAGACCATGACCAGGTGACCTGTGTGCTTGCTCAGTCTGCTGTCTAGGTGCCAAGTGTTGGTGGGCAATTTCAAGGTGCCTGGTACTCTTCTTTCTTTCTTTCTTTCTTTCTTTCTTTCTTTCTTTCTTTCTTTCTTTCTTTCTTTCTTAAAAAATCTGGATTTGGACAGCCCTTCAACAGAGGATGTACTCAAAAAGAGAAATGTCCTCTATAAAGCACAACACAACCGCACCCTATCTGGGAACCTCTATCTATCCATCTGTCAATCGCACAATTGTTTCTCACCTTTCCACCAATACAGACCTCCAAAGGTGGCTCACAAAAGTTAGCTAACTTGACCATGAAGATGACAGTTACAGGAGGCATGAAGCTTCTCCTCTCCTTGACCCATCTCTCTTAACGTAAAGCTGCTATCTCTCCCACTCCACAGTGATCTCCAGAAAACCCTGGGGTTGGGGCTAATCTTGGTCTCTCACACTTCTCATGCTGTCCATTAGGGATAGTTGAGAAATCAGCACCGGTCCTACCATTAGGCAGAGTGAGGCTACCATCTCAGACATTCAGTGGTAGTGGCAGCTTCCTTCCAACCAATCCTTCCCAAGCCCTCTGGCCATTTCACTTTGCATGGGACCAGTGTGTACCTTGTAGCCTCTAAGTCAGTGGTTCTCAAAGGATGTAGCATGCCAGACTGGTGTGGCAGGAGAGGATGGCTAGTGCAGCAGTTCAATGTGTTCAATGTTACAAAAATGTCTTGGGCCATACCTGTGAGAAATGATTCCTTGAGCCTGTTATGATCCTCTGTAATCATAAAACCGGGGCATGTAATGGCTTCTTTAGATCTACTGCATGGCTGCTCCCAGCACACACTAAGTAATTCATCAGCTGCCAAAAGGAGCATTGATTGATTTGCTTGCCCGTTGCCACAAAGCCATCCAGATGTGTTTGGTTTGGTCTATAGCACATGCTTCACTCAAACAACATAAGTACATTCAAACATAATCTCCTTTTCTGCATTGGCCAATACTCTCTTTATCAGTAAATGCCAGACATTACCTGCTGGCACTGAAAGTCTCAACATTTGACAACCACAGCCACATCAGAGTGGTCAATATTGGACTAGACAGGCAAATGGTGTATAACTGTGTGTTCCAAAACTGGGTTCAAATGCTGAATAATGTCTAGGAGAAGAGAAATGCTATTGATTTCCTTGCAACTTGTGTAGGTTTATCACAAAAAGCTGCCCCCCATCAAACATGTATATTTTGACACAAAAATCAAAACATATTAATGTTGGGCTCAACTCTAGTGAAAAATCCATTGTACAGCCTCTTTGAATAAACCCTTAGCTTCTCTGAAGCTTTATGGCTTACTATAGGAGTCTTGCTTCATTTCTGTATCACTGAACCCTACACCTGAGTCTCTACACCTCTTTTTTCTGCCAAGCGCCACATCCCTTTGGGGTTAGCCTATTGGAGGCTGCATACTGGTGGCAGTGGGTGGGGCTGGAGCCAGGGCTGGGAGGGGTTAAGACCAGTAGTGGGCAGGGCAGAAGGCAAAGGTGAGTTTGGCCTCTTCGTTTTTTCATCTCTTGTTTTGCAGCACCTTTCATGTCCCTGTGCTCTCCATTTCTCATCCCCCCCCATCAAATGAATAAGAATAAGCCAAGAGTGCCCGCCTCAGGTTTAGATGACACTGGTGGCATCTCTGTAGAGCAGAGGTGGGGAACCCGTGGCTTCCAGATGTTGCTGGACTGTAGTTCCCATCTGTCAGGACTGAAGAATTCCCCCACTCTCCTCCCGATGGTTTCAAGGAGCCAGGAGGAAACAAGATGGCTTTAATTATGATGCATTCAGTCTCTTATGATAACAGACAAGAATTCATGTCTTGCCGCCATAATGATGTTGCTCACTCTGACTCTTCCTCCTTCCCTCTTTGCCAGCAACACCTGCTTCTATGGAGTCTTCCCTTGG